GCAATGAGAGTGATGCAAATGGAAATACCATTAAATGTGGTCGACCATCAGATATTTGGTCCCTTGGCTGCATTCTTTATCAGATGGTCTATGGAAGGACACCTTTTGCTGAGTACAAGACTTTCTGGTCCAAGGTCAAAGTTATAACAGACCCAAACCATGAAATAACATATGGACCGGTTTCCAACCCTTGGCTTCTTGATCTTATGAAAAAATGTCTTGCATGGGACCGCAACGAAAGATGGAGGATTCCACAGCTACTCCAACACCCTTTTCTTGTTCCTCCAGTACCTTCCCGCTCATCTTCAACTCAAGATCAAAGCTGTCAGCTGCTCCAACTAATAACCCAATCTTGTGCCAATGATCAGGAAGCTTCAGTGATATGCTCTCAGCTTGAGAAGCTACTTAGGTACCCTGAATCACAGGTAACATCTCAGTCATTAACATCACGAGAACAACAATGTGAGTTGCTCTCCCAAATTTCAAAGCTTTGCTTGGAACTCCAAGAACGCTTAGGCAAGTCAGTGCGAGTCTGAGAGAGGTCAAGCTTTGAGTTTGCAAAGCAACTTTGATTTTGCAAGGCAACTTTGATAGGGTCTTTTTGGGGCTGCAAGGAATTATGCCCGATCGACATCTTCCTGTTCCATCCCTTGTAACAATATGCAGTGATCATAGCCGTGGTATCCTAGCTAACTGAGTTCATCTCGGCTGAAATTTAATCAGCCCATGGTTATGTATTATATAGCATTTTCAGCTTATGTATGTGAATTGTGAAATTTATATGGGGAACCTCACAATGTAATCTGGCTTGAATGGTATCATTGTGTTACCTTTTGTGAATTTGATATGTAAAAAAATCTTCAGTTGCACCAAAGAAAATTAAGGAATTGGGTATTTGATGTAGTTCTTCAACTATATTATTTACTGCAATCAAGTCCCTTAACTTCGAGTAATGTTAACATACTTGACTCCCTCTATTAACAAAAAGTATTTGCCTGTGTTGACTATTGACGTGAATTGTTCATTTGTTAAAAATTGGTTGTTCGTCCACATTGATAATATGTTCTTCAAGGGAATAGACTGACGGGAAATCCCCACTGGTTAACCCAAAGCAAAACTAACAACCCACAAGCTCAAAATGAAAATTTTTAAGAGATGGCCTTCTTCAACCCTACTGCACCTTGAAGGAATAATTGCTGTAAATGAATTCATCTTAACTACCTGATCTATTATCCCATTGGCAGATGCACAGATTGCATGGTTCTTTTTCAATGGTCCAGCATGTCGATTTTCTGGACATGGTTCAGGGCAATAAAGGCCATTGCAAATGATGTTTGTGAGGTGAGTTGCTACTCGTCCCTAGATGAAAGCTTGTATGAAGCTTCAGCACGGGCTTCCTGTAACTTCATCAATAGTTCCTTCATGAATGGTGTATTTGAGCCATGAGTAATTCGTAGTATGTCAACTGCCTTTGTCAAAGATTTGATAGCTTCATCTGTCTCCCCAAGCAACCTGTAATTTTCAATGAACAAGTTTGTTATAGTTTACAGGAGAAAAAAAGTGTGAGGGTGATGACACAGCATAAGTGTTAATACCTTACAAAATATAACTCCCAATGCATTTTGAAAAAATAAAAATGAAAAAAAGAAAATAAAGAATGGCAGTGAGCAATAAATAAATATATAAATAAATAAAACAACTAACCACTCAAGTTTTCCACAAGTATAGTATTGCAGTCCAAGCAAGGGATGGGATCCTGGATACACTCCTGAAATGGGACAGAGCAGGTAAGTCTATGCCAGAAATTTTTTAACATGAAAATCTCAAGCAAATGGTATTGTCTAAGAGTTATAGAAACTTTTGGTGGCGGTGAGTGCATTTATACAGATGAGTTTTAGATGATTATTTTGGTTAATACTATCAACTTCTCATAGGACTGTTATAACGTAGTTCTTAAGCACCTTCTGCAGTCATCTAGAAAAATTTAAGGTTATGGTATCTGGCATAGAGACTGTTATGTTAAGAACAGAAAAACAACCTTATCTAATTTATTCGTGTTCCCAGGCTGAACTAACATGCATAGGGATTCAAAATGATTTGGATAGTCTCTAAGATGAGCACCTTTTTATCCCAATCATCAAAGATCCAAAACGAGTAGTTAAACTCATGATATCTTGAAATGGATTACAAGAAAAGGGAAGACAACAAAAAAAAAAAAAATGATTGATACATTCAAGGAAATTGTAGGATCTAGGGTTAAATATGTTATGTATTATCACTTTCCATAGTTTTCTAGTAGTTTTAGTTTTTCTCATCTATGAACAGCAAGTAAATTTGAACTCTTGGTTCTCTTCACCCTTGTACTACTACTACCATGACAAATGAGGACAATATAATAAAGAAAATAAATCTATAATAAGTCTGCTCTGAAGGATTCAAGTAGAAATATATCATACTTTGATAGACTGGAAGGGTCAGCCTGCAATATGCCAAAGCTTCTTTCCAATCTTCCAGCTGCATTAATATCTGCAAAGCCATTTAATTCCATCTTATCAAAATAAAAAGTTTAGACTCAATTGATATTTTCCAACAAAAGCAAAGGCTATTTTACCAAAAAGAAAAAGAAAAGATACCTCAAGAAGCTTTTCTTGTGTCCGCATGAGACTGATTGAAAATGGATGGCACAATTGCTTCTGGAGTTTCTCAATATTCTTATACATAAAAACAGAGTCCTGATGATCTGAAGTTAAGTGAAGGATCAAATTTTCAAATATTCTTATTTAGAACATGAAATGGAGAGAAAATTGGGGGAAAAAAAAACAACAAAGCAAACCATTAAAAACTGTATAATATCAAATAGCTAATACAGATTACTAGTCAACATAAAAAAGAAAAGAAAGAAGTAGTGAAGGATACTGCCAGATGAATTAGACTTAAGAACCTTGTCTGACATGGCTTTGATATCACTAGCAATATTTCTTATCTCTTCCTTGTCCCTAAGAAGGCCACATTGTTGGCATACAAATCCTTTGTCATCTGCATCTCCAAACAGCAAAGAGTGAAATTTCCTTTTAGGGCTTTCAACTGCTTGATTGATTTAACTACAGTCTAATTGTATAAAAGTAATCAAATACCAGGTAATGGGGAGAGTAATCTCATACCAGAGTCACGTAACAAGAAACCACTGCATCCATTATCCCTGCACCGATAACCTTCCAGAATTGCACTTTCTTCGATATCTTCATACTGACCCTTCAACAGAAATACAAGCATAATTAACCAGACAGGTAAAACTGCAAGCTAAAAGAGTGAAACATAACATTCTCTAAAATAAGGAAAGCAAACATTCTTGTAAAGTTTATGCAGGAAGTACCACTTGGATGCATCGGGAACATGTACAGGAGAAAAAGTATTGTTCTTTGAGAGCCTTTTGCCGAGTAGTAGAGCTTGCTGCAGTCTCAACATAACTTATCAATACCTTACAAAATATGACAATGAACAGCATATTCAGTCACAAACACAGAACCAGTGAAGAATAATGTTAATTGATATTCTTGATCATGTATCTTTTCAATGCTGCATATGGTTTTGGAATCATTAATAATTGCAGGGTAAACATGCCATACTCTAGAAAGACGAATGAAGCCTAATTCATAAGTTACTAATAGATAGTTGTTAGAAAATTAATGATCTAACAGAGTGTCTCACCTCATCACCTTTGGGTATGTGCTGCATAGCACGTACAACAGCCAACCTTCCCTCAAATACTAGTACAGCATTGGGCAAGCAGCTACAGAACCAGAAACTTTAGTTGATTAATATCAAGAGAACAAGAAACAATAAAATATAAATCTCTAACCAAAATTACCTGTGGTTTATAATAGAAATAATAGGATATAATCCTGTCCCAAGAGGCCTCAATTCACTGTCACAAATGGTATGTGCATTGCATGCAAACTGCATTTAATTTTAGAGAATGATAGAGACTCAGATTCCAGAACCAATTGATGAGAAGATCACACTCTTAAGTGGTGACGGATCTTACTAAGAATCTTCCCTTTGGTTTATTACATAGAGAATGGTTAGGTGATGAAGAATAATTAGAACTTACCAGAAATTAGACCAGAATAATACTAAATTTCTGAATTACTTAGTCTATGCTTCTTTTCATGAACATTTAGACATTTGTTTTTGAACAGATGAACTTTTAGATTTAGTACCACCAAATGATTCAAATTTACAACATATTATTGACAGTCATGTTCATGTTTATCTCTACAAAAGGTTGAATTACCCATTAGGCATCCAAAATGAGTTCCCCTCCAGCTACTTCTCAAAATAAGATCAGGTTTTAAAAATATTGCATTGTAGATTGCCAGGTTCATATGACAGCTTTAAGGTTATTCCCAGTACCCACTGAGAAGACATCAACTTAAAAGGATTATGAAGACCTTGGAAAAGTTTTCTGCAATCTCTTTTATGCTGATCTCAGGCAACTGAAGAATCAAATTGACAAGGTTGGCCATCTGTGCATAGAGCACCAGTTGCTTCTCATCAATGTCTAACATATCTTTACCAAATTTAAGGTTAAACAAAATAGTAAAGCTGCATGACTATAATAAATTGGAAAAGAAATACATCAAGTGGATTGAACCCAAATAATAAAGTACAAAGGATACGGGAAACCAATGCCTCCACTAAATTATAATTATCTGTAGCAGTAACAGAGATAACCTAGAAATCAAACAAACACACATGTTAAAGCATGATTTGGGTTAACATTATCTTAGCAATATGGTTTATTCTATTAGAGACACACCAACCAAACAGCAAACTGAAAGATTGTCCAAAAATGTCTAGCTTCTGGCACAAGGGACAAATTAGATCAAAGAAACTAAAAATAAACAAAGAAAAAAATCTATTTCAACTTCTAAAACCCTCAAACATTTTCTGCAATACCAGGTAATTGAAAAAAAAAAAAAAAGGAAAGAAAGTAAAAAAAAGAGAGAAGAATAATGGCCTTGCATTTACAATGAACTGATTACCTAAAAGTACATCTGAATGATGAGCAAGCAGTAGCAAAGTTCATTACCTTCTCATTTTGCAATTTTCTCCGAAGGTAAAGTTTCACCATTAGACGGATTGTAGGTGTAACAGATTTTCTCCTCTCCTTGTCAAGCTTAGACAGAGCTTGGCATTCCAGACGATGCAGCTTCCAATCCAACTTCTAAAACCATACAGCAAACAACCCATCAAATTCATAAGATAAGTATCCAGAGTCCGTGAATTGCTCTGCTGAATTTACAATTGTACTAAATATTGCTTTCAACAGAGCCATATACAGATAAGAGAAGAAAGCAATGCAATTCCCCTAATTCTTTAAGTCATTCCTTTCCCAAGTCAATCCCCATCCATCTTGAAGTCCAGACCTAGACCTCCAACTCCCGCTATTGGGAACCCTTAATTGTTTTAAAGAAAAAACATGCATGCCAAAAATACAACACAAACTCAAAAGTAAATGCAGAGGCATTGATTGATTAATGATTACAAACCTGGCAAACGCTTCCACAGTAGCAGACCACCTGACAAGCTGAGCACTTCTTAAGGTTTGTGTCTGTGAAACATCCGTCGCATCTTGAGTTGTTTGGCACGCAAACATAAGGCTCTTGGCTTATAATTACCTCCCCTGAAACATGAAAGCCACACTCTTCACCTACGCCCTGAAAAACCAGCATTCCGCAAGAGACATAAGAGGAAGAGCAAGAAAAACCTGGATAGAAGTCTCTGGTGGTGACGAGAGAACGGCCTTTGTCAGGGAAGTTGGAAACAGTTAACCCACCAGCTTGAAGAGCACCCTGCAACTCCTCCATTAGAATCCAGACCCAAGACAGAGCTTCCTATTGATGTCGACGACGATGAAAGAAGAAAAAAGAATGGACTCGACAAAACGCACGAATTAAAAATTATCTTTTTCATCCAAAGTCCAAACCTTTTGACTGAGATATCAATTAGTCCCAACTTTCAATTCTTTATCGTTAACAGTCCAGCAATAACGGCATAGAATCGGGAAGTAACGCTTTTGAGCGTCGCTGTCTCCGTTGCAGTTGCGCCGCCTTGTTTTCTCCGTCGCTTGAAATTCGAATACCGATTCCTTCTGAACCTTATGCTATTGACCAGTGGGTTGCGCTTCCTCTCTCCACAGCTTTCCCTCTCCTTTCTCTTTCGCCCTCGCCGGCATCTCCGTCTCACCCTTTCCGGTGTCTCCTCAGGTTGAATAACACCATCGTTTTTGAGACTAAGCTAATTATTAAGTTTCGATTGACTCTCTTGCTTTTGGCCAGCAATGCAGAGCAGCTCGTCTACTACCCTCGCTTTGTACGGCAAGTCTTCTGCAGAAGCTGAAATTGCCCAATTACTGAAACAAAACGAAGCTATTAAGCTCCCCGACAACACCCAAGTTTCGATCTTGTTACAGTCGGAGGTTACTAAGAAACCATTGGAAGAAGAGGAAGAGGCCTTCGATGCCCAGTTGTTCATGAAATCTCTCTCCACGAATCAGTTTGGTCGGTTCCTTATCTGGTCTCCGCGGCTACCATCTACCCACGACATCGTCTCTCAGTAAGCAATGCGAAATCTATTTGCTTTCTTCTTTCTTGAAGCATTAAGTCTGTGCTAAAACTTTGTTTTGAGTTCTTAACAGTAATTTTTCTGAGCTTCCTCTTGGGACAGTTTGTGTTGCTGATGTTCAGTTCAAAGGGCGAGGTATAGACTTTTGTTGCACTGTTTTCAGCTGTATGCTTAGGTGTTTCCTGGTTATATATGATATGATTGTTGATAACATATATATATGTGTGTGTGTGTGTGTGTGTGTGTGTGTGTGTGTGTGTGTGTGTAGGTCGGTCCAAGAATGTATGGAAATCTCCAAGAGGATGCCTTATGTTTTCTTTTACGATGCAAATGGAGGATGGAAGAACTGTGCCTCTGGTTCAATATGTGGTGTCTCTGGCTATCACGGAGGCAATAAAAGATGTCTGTGACAAGAATGTAAGCATATCTTCATATGCATTTTCCATTTCCTATGCAGATTTTGCATCTGTTTCACATTGGTAATAGGTAGACAAGATGGTGATACACACTTTTTGGGTTTTGGAATGTAAATCTAGACATATTTAAAGGTGAACTCTGAACATTACTCTAGATCAGAAAATGTGCTACATTCTCGGCAATTAGCAAAACTCTGAATGCTTACATTCATGAAACTTTTTATTGCAGTTATCAGTCCTTGCAATTGCCAAGACTTTTAATAGAACTCTCGTTTATTTTCTTCTCTTAATTTGACCAGAATCACCGTTTTACCCTGTTTCTTTGCAAATTATAGAAGAATATGGTCCCAAAGTTCAGAAATTGATGCATTTTTTTCTGAAACATTTTTCAGGGCTTTCCCCCTATCAATATTAGAATCAAGTGGCCAAATGATTTATATTTTAATGGACTGAAAGTTGGAGGCATCTTATCGACATCAACATATAGATCAAAGTTCAATGTTAGTTCAGGTAAAAGAATTCAATCCTACTAGTGATGACCGAAAAAATCCATCAAACCAAAAACCATTATCTGCAAATTCAACTGGCTAGACTCAATAGTGGTGTCACATGTCAACATGGAGAAACTCTGGTCCCCAAAGTTTCAAAAAATTTGTTTTTCACCTTCTTACTTGCCTCTATTCTAAAATTTATAAGCGTCCTATTGGCATTTACTTCATGTCTGTTGCACCTTATAGATGTGCTCCTATTCGCACCTTCATTTTTAATCTATCTGCAGAATTCTGGCTCTACAGCTAGCTGACTATCCAATTTTGGGAGGCTTGAAAAGTTGCAAAACTTGCATGCATAATGGGGATGATAAGTTGATGCTTGTTCTTGCAGGTATAGGTTTGAATGTTGATAATGAGAAGCCTACAACATGTTTGAATGCAATACTAAAAGAATTGTCTGCTGGTGCTGCTTGTGCTAACCAGTTTAGAAGAGAAGATATCATGGCTGCCTTCTTTAATAGATTTGAGAGGTTTTATGACCTTTTTATAAATCAAGGTAATAAGCCAATGCCTTAAATGTTCACAGAATTTTGATCAGATATGTAATATGCCATTTACTTTGTTGAATTTCTCGTGATGATGCTATGTCTTACTTTCATACGCATACTGGAACTATTTTCCGTTTGTATTGCAAAACATGCAGGATTTCATGCACTTGAGGAGCTTTATTACCAAACATGGCTGCACAGGTCATGTGCTTCTTTCTTTTGTAATTTTTTAAAACCATTTTCATCTAAGGCTTATATGCACATATTCTATTATGAACTTTTGTTGTTCATTTTACTGATTATGGAGCCAGGGTCCTTGTATAAATCAGGTCTGCAGATGGCACATTAGATGCAATATATCTTTTGCAATCTTTGCACAGGGTGGTGAATTTTACAACTTGTTGACCCCTTCACTTATAATCCCAGATATACTGTTGCACTAAAAAGTGATCCTAGGTTGTGTTAGTATGAAGGGAAAAAACTGTTTTTCACTTTCTTGTTCACATCTACAATCATCAATGCTAGAGGGGTTAGCTTTCATATATTTTTACTTGACTCTGATATCATGTGCACGAAGTAGAGAATACCTCAAGTGGTATTAATGTGGATGGCCACCATTTCCTTTAAGAAGGGTAATAATTGGCAGCTGATTCTTCTATATATCTATTAAATCCGTAGAAGCCTGATGAAGTCTAATTTTGGCATGTAGTTGTCTCATCAACTTGACATTACTCACACTCATGACTTACCCACCCAATTACATGTATTTATGTGTCCATTTGTGTTTTTATCTGCATTAAGAAGCAAACAAGTGTCCCTGTTTCTATTTTTATTAGTGAATCATGGTAAGATTTTCCTAAGATCTTAGGAATGCATTGTTAACCTAAAGTATTTCTTATTCTAACTTTTATTTAATGTTGATATGTACCTGCAGTGGGCAAAGAGTTATTGTAGAGGAAAAGAATGAGGATGGAGTAGTAGAAAATGTTGTCACTATAAAGGTATGCTGGGCTCAATATTTCATTAATTAGTTTGGTTCTTTTTTGTTACATATAGTTTGGTTTTTTCTTTTGGTACATATAATTTGCTGATGTGTGCATATACAGGTATGGTTATCTCTATGAATTTTGGTTTTTAGACTCAAGGGAAAAATTTTCCCCACAAATCATTAGAAATTGCTAGTTTTTGCTTACCTGAGTCCATTTTACATCAAGGGTTTTTTGATACTTGGGTGTTTGTTTTCTGGCTATGTTTCTCAGGAAAATTTTGCTTTTTCCTAATACATCAGGAAAATTTTCTATGAATAATTTTTTTGCTACGATTGCAGAAAGTCATGAAATAGCATGTTTCTTTCATTTTATGCTGTGTTACTACTTATATTTAAAAGAAGAAAACATAAATCCTCAGTGTAAAAACCAAAGAGAACAATAAATTTCGTGGTAACTTTGAAAACTTATTCCTAATCGGAAGCATTTTTTGTATTATATGTGGACGTTATTGACCTGAAACAGTGTTTTATGATATTCATTATTTTGTTTGCAGGGTCTGACATCATCAGGGTATTTGTTAGCTATTAGTGAAGATGGTCAGATGTGTGAACTTCATCCTGATGGCAACAGGTATATAATCAAAAGTGTTAATATTTTTCATTCAAAAACTTCCCTTTTCCTTTCCTGCAAAAACTTGCATTTTCCTTTCCTGTACAGAACCTAAAAACCAGCAATATCATCTCAAAAGAAAAAAAAAAGGGGGTAATAGAATGAAAGTTAGACCAAACCACTTTGGCATAATCTCCTGACAACCCAACTCTTTATTTTGAAAAGAATACGTTTTAAGTTTAATTTCTTTTTGTTAGGTCATGAACTATTTTCTTGACACCAATCAGTTTTGTGTCATTGGTCTGACTCAATAAGCTTTATTTCTGTTCCATTCCATGAATACTTATCTAACCTCTGTTCCACACACACATACAATATATATTCATGTATGTTGTATTTGTTGGAGACCAAAGTCTCAAATATGATGCCAAACATACCCATTTGTCTTGTAATTCCAAATGTTGTATGTGTTTTAACATAAGTTTATGATTCTAGCGGTTTGCTTTTAATTTAAACTAATCTGTCTATGATTTCGACAGTAACTGTAACTTTCTCTCATGTTGCTACAGTCTTGACTTCCTCAAGGGACTGATCAGAAGGAAACTTCAATAAAGAAGAACATTCTCCTCTAGCACTCTGCATTAGCGGTGAACCATCATATTGCAACATCTGGAGAAGTTTCCATGTTTCATAATCTTCCATCCCAGCACTTAACACTCTATTTGGATTGGGGAAGTTGGAGGG